TATTCAATGAATTGATCATGTCTTTTTCTTAACATGACAGAAAATTTGGTTCATCTAATATGAGGGATATAAATCCCTTTTTTGTTTATATTCTTTTATCTTTAATGCATTTAAAACTTTGTTTAAATTTTTTTTTGGAGCCACTGCCCTTAAACCCCCTCCACTAAATATTCGGACTTAATATGCATACATAAATAAAGTTTTCTGGGTCCGCCACTATATATATAGGGAAAAATATTTCTCAAGTTGCTTGATATAAGTTTATCTCCGGCCACCTTAAAACTACGTCGTTTTGTTTATTTATTTCCTTATATTAATTGATTCACCTTTGAATAGTTATGATTCTCATTTTCTCTCTCTTCCTTTATCACCATTGATCCATCTTTGTACGATTATGATTTAGTAGCAGGAGATAACATTATCTCAAGCAGCTTGAAAAATGATAAGCCCATATATATCTATATATATATATATGTGGGGAGGGATCATTTGACTCAAGAGTAAGACTTAAAAATCTTACTCTTCATCGCAGCCGTTGATTTCCGTTCATCTAACGCTTATAATTAATTGTTATAATTTATTAAATGATAACCATTAGATGAAAGTAAATCAACGGCTGCGATGAGGAGTAAGACTTTTAAGTCTTACTCTGGAGTCAAAAGAACCCTCCCCTATATATATATATATATATATATATATAAATATAACCAATATATATATATAAATATAACCAATATATATATATATTGGTTATATTTATATATATATTGGTATATATATATATATATATATATATATATATATATATATATATATATACTGGTAAAATAATATCTAACGTTGTACGTGCAGCAATGACAAGTGTATGAGCAGGATTTTCCACATTTTATGCTTTTACTTTTTGTATGGTTATGATTTCTCATATTAAATAATTTAAACCACATATATATATATAGGGGTTTACATTTCTGCAGCTGCTGTACGTGCAGCAATCAAATACTTGCCATATATATACTTTAAAGTATTAAATGCGGGAAATCATGACCATACAAATGATGAAAGCATTAAATGTGGGGAATCATAACCATACACCTGTCGTTATTGTACGGCTGCAGAAATAATTTTAGCATATATATATATATGGGGCAAGATCTTCGTACATCGATGATGTAAAAATAATAATTCTTACACTCAATCTTAACCGTTAATTTTTGATATCTGACGGTTATAATTTATTGAAAATTAATAATTATTTAATGAGAATAATCCAATTAATTACAATCGTTTGATGGACGAAAATCAACGTTTAAGATTGAGTGTAAGATTAGCATATATATATATATGCATTGTGTTATAATTTTTTGTATGGTTAATGTTGTACGAGTAGCTTTGCTCAAAATGTAAATCACACAAATAATAAAAAGAATTACAGGATGGTGTTTGTCCTTTTGAAATGATTCAAAATTGTGTCATTTTGTCAAAATTACTATTTTATGGTAATAAAAACATATTATAATCGGAGAAAGTGAGAATTTTTTTAACGAAATATAAAATAATCTGAACTGAAATTAATGTTTTTTTAAAAAGACAAATATTTTTTCCATTAAAAATAGGGGAATATTATTCTTATGTTATAAGAGATAAAAAAAAAAAAAAATCTCTCTCCTCTCTCCTCTAAGTTGTGACCTATGATGCACGATACTGACACGGGACACGACACGACTCGCCGACACGTTAATTCTAAAAAATGGCATATTTTGACACGTTGGGACACGTTTTAATATTAAATAATATTTTCAATATATATAATATAATTTATATTTAACAGATATAACAGTCCATAATAAGTTATATAACCAATCAAATATTCAAATTTCATAACATAAATATAAACAAAAATAATTTTTTGTACCTTGTTAATCTTTTATGTCAAATTTCATAACAGAAAAAAATTGATTTATAAATAATTTTTTAATTTTTAGTTAATAAAATAAAATTAAGAATAAAAAAAACATGTCCGAGTGTTGACCACGTGTCGAAAAAAGTTGACTGCGTGTCAAAAAAATATGTCGGAAAGTGTCGAAGAGTTGATCGTGTGTCCTAAAATATTGACTGCGTGTCAGACGTGTGTCGGAGCGTGTCCGACACGCACATTTTTAAAAAATGCACGAGTCCGTGCTTCAGAGGTTGTGACTGCATCAAAGAATTTTTCTCTGATATAACGTGAGAGTAATATTTTCCTTAAAAATACAATTAAAACAAACAAAAAAAAAATCAGTACCACTCATATAACGTGAGAGTAATATTTCATTTAAAAATTCTCTGATATAACGTGAGAGTAATATTTCCCTTAAAAATTAAATTGAAACAAAAAAAAAAAATCAGTACCACTCATGGATTAATAGAATCGAGTTACAAGAGCAATCCTTAGAACTTTATTAAAGCGAAGGCATTAATTACATATATTCCAATAAAATACACAAGATTGGTATACAATTGGATTATGCTAACCCAATTGATGTCTGAGATACAGGCGTAGCTATATATATAGAGACTATAGAAATGGAAAGGTAATCTTTTTAAGCATGGTAAGTTTAATAGAATGCGGAGGAAGATCTTATCATATTATGGAGTTGGAATTGGCTTGTGAATTGGCTTGTGAATGTTTTGGAAATTTTGATTTCTTCACTTTAGGAAAAGGCCTTTTAGGTAAAGGCGGTAGCGGTTTAGGAAAAGGCTTTATCCTGATAGGCTTAATCTTGAAAATTAACTCTGGCTCAACATCAAGAATTGGCTTTTTCACTGCAAATGGTTTTGGAATAGGCTTAACAATGGGAGTTGGCTTTGGAATAGGCTTAGGGAAAGGCTTAACAATTGGAATTGGTTTTGGGAAAAAAAATCCTTTGAATTTTTCTTCTTCATTATGTCCTCCTAGGCTTGTCTTTGTCAGTTGCTCATTTACAAGCTTCCCATCAGTGTTCACTTCATTCCCTGTGTAAGAAATGCAAAAGTACATCACTTAAATACATAATATATAGTTCTATGATAGTAAATTTGAATTCTTTCATGTAGATAGATATAGAGTGAATATATAAATACAAAAAAGAAAAGAAAAATTATGTGCCAGTCAAAATAGCAAAATAATTATACCACTTTGGTGACCATACTACTAGATGTCAAGAAGCAGAATATACCACAATTTACATGCATGTTGATGCTAAAATAAATCATTGATTTGAATTAATTTGGATGACAATAATAACAGTCAAAGTCTAACTAGCAAGTAACCATAATTTTCACTGACTGAATTTAGTGTATGAAGTGTTATGTCTAAGTGGTATGGTCTCTATTTCCTCAAAACTCAAGTCTCAAGAGATATACACAATTCATTAATAGTTTTCCATTCTTCATTGAGTGTCAGCATGAGCCACAAACCTGAAACTTCAGTTGTTGCTATAGCAGAAGGAGCATAACAGAAGCTGGCAATAAGCAACAGGGGAGCAAAGAAAACAAATAGGCCAAATCTGAAAAAGGGAAATGCTTGAAGGATGAGTTACTCTTGTCCCATACATGCATTATTTATGTTAGCTTTCTTGGGATTAACTATGCATTAAGTGCTCTATTTTTTTTTTTTTTTAATACAAGTGCTCTATCTGCTATTACCCTTGTGAATATAGTCCTAGCTAGATTTTAGATTTAGTTAGGGACCATTATGAGTAGTTTGGGAGTGTTTATTGTTAGAATACAAACTCAACTTTGATACAACCTCTTCACCGTAAAACTATAACTAAAGTGATTTGTGCAAATCCAAGTTGCCTATATGCTTAACATCTGTGAGGTAATTTACATAAAAGTACCTAAGTTCTTAATGCTTTTATTTTTTAATCATTCAATAAATATGCTCAATATGCTTAACCAAAATGAACAAGGGATCTAGCCATCTATATTCTTATGAATGGGGTGAAATCCCCTGCATTAATATTTATTTTCTCTAATATTGCTCTTCTTTGCCAACATGCTGGCATACCAACAATCAACAAGCATTCACCAGGATCAATTAATAGCTGTTATATGTGGCCATGACTCATGCACATTGATAGAGCAGAGTTGCTCTGAGAATTAAAAGAAGAGTAAAAATGGGTTATTATTTCTGATATCGGTTCTTTACATCAAAACTCTATTTATAGGAGGAGCTTGTGAATAAGCCACGTAAGTGACACCTCACTAACTCACCGCTTCTAGCACGTTCCTAACAGCTTATTGACTCTATTTATGCAACTATACAATTACATCAGCTCTCAATTATATTACAATATCCAATATCACTACTTATCTATTAAGCTACTGTTGAACTCCTACACACACCACCTCCTCAACAGTCACCACCATATAAACAATCCTGCAATCAATGCTAGACTTTTATATATTTTCACCACCGTATAAACCAAAGCATATACTAGATATCTTCATTTTTTAACCTGCTTAAATTCTAAGTAACAATCAATGCAAGACTTTTTTTATATATCACACATGTAGAAAGGGCGACACTATGTTAAGGGACTAGCCCCAACAGAGAAATAGAGAACAAGAAAGGTAACGAAAAGAAGAATTTTCTGTTATGAATTCAATGAATGTTTTTCCATCGATTACACTATTGGTTTTATTATATTCATTTCCAGCCACACAAATGCCACGTAGCACTAAAATACCCCACTAATATTCCACAAGGCTACACCTGTTACATTCAACATAACTACACCTGTTACAAAAGATTACTGATATACGTTGTTTGTTGAAATGATAAATGCTATAACTATGTTTATTTTCTAATGTTAACCACGAAGTCCTTTGCCCAGGTACGAGCTCCAGCTTTCCTTTTCTTCCTAACTCACTGTTAAAAAATTAACCACAAATCAATCAAATAATTTTGCATTGGTAGGGTATTTTCAAGTAATCATCACCAATGTTCTGCAGTATCAAATAAAATTTTCTATTTTCAACTAATCTTGTATATTTTCTGCTTCCCACTGAAGTCTGGCATGTTGGTGCTGCTGCAATGGTTGAGCATCATCAGCACTTGAACTTCCAGCCACACTTGACTCAAACCCAGGAATACTTGAACTTCCAGTTGCCACATAACCATCAAAACGTTTGATTGAAGGCTTCATCAATAATTTGTGGCACATAATGGTGTCTTGGAAGTCTACAAAAGTATAGTCAAGAAATTGAGACTTATCCAAATCTGTCATCCTTGCAAAGCCAAATGAGTTTGTCCAAGTGTCTATCACACTAGGAGAGGAAGGCAAGATCATCCTCTCAATTCCCAAGTGAGTCAAATGCTTCTCAAGCTCATTCATCAAGATACTACACATTCCAAGTCTTCGAAACATCCTCCCAGTGGCAACAAATGGTAGCTCAGCAACCTTCTGACCATAAATCCTTATGGTGGCAGCAGAAATCACTTGGTCATTCCTCTCCAAAATCACCGTGTAGAACCCACGAAAGTTGGAACCATCAAGTTCTGAACCTCTGCTAGACATAATATCTGATATGATATCTCTCCCAGTGAGAGGATCAATAACGGGATCAAAACACTCACGGAATACTCCAAGAGCCACACTTAGCTTGCTTTCAATTTGACTCAAGCGCTCAAGGTCTTCAGAAGTAAGATCTCCAAGGTTATCACTTTTCAAGGTCTTCAACATCATCCAAGTAAGATTATCTGCACCCCCCACGGGAATTGCTTTTCCTATCAGCTTCTGTAGACTGCAAAATATGTTCTCACAATCAGAATTGCAGAACCAATTCTTATTAGGGCTGTTTTCCAAGTTACTGGTAAAGCCTCTAGTCTTTAGGCAGCCAATGTGGTATTTGTGCTCACATTGATCACAAACGAGAACACTGCAATCCACATTATCTGCACAATCTTCTCTGTATTTTGCTCGGTTGCATATTTTGCAGCAACATGGTGGGCAAAACCAATCACCATCAGGAACTTGTTCAAGACCAAGACAAGTGAGATGGAATGAGGATGGACATCTATCACAGAGTATCAATTCACCACCATAACGACATATGGAACAGACGCTGTCATTATTGTCTTTATAAACACTGTCTCTCTGCATAACAACATCGTGATTTTTTTGTTGTGAAGTACTCAATGCTTCCCTTTGGCAATCCAACAGTGACCTTCCATCTTCCAAGAAGATACTAGTTGATGGAAGTTGCTTTGTACAACCAGCATGAGCCTCAAAGTTAGTGGGGCCCAAAACCTTGGATTCTGAAAGTACCACGTTGGTGTCTATCAACCAAGAGTTAACTGTACCAGGATTTGAAGAACTTTGTGCCTCATCCCCATGCCTCACCCTCGGTTTCTTGCATTTTCTTGGCTCAGCCTTCAGTTTCTTGCATTTTCTTGGCTCAGACCTCAGTTTCTTGCATTTTCTTGGATCAGCCCTCGGTTTCTTGCATTTTCTTGGTACCTCCTGGGATTGTGCAGAAGATGAAATGACAGCAGTGGAAGAGGCCTGATCAAGCTCACTCGTGGATTGAGATTGACCCACCGGATTCCACTCATCATCATCACCATCATCAAATGACTCCCTTTGCCTTTTCTTGCACTTTCTTGGCTCAGCCCTCGGTTTCTTGCACTTTCTTGGCTCAGCCCTCGGTTTCTTGCATTTTCTTGATACCTCATGTGATTGTGCAGAAGATGGAATGACAGCAGTGGAAGAGGCCTGATCAAGCTCATCATCATCAAATGACTGCGCTCTTGCTCTTCGTTTCTTGCATTTTCTTGGTTGCACTTGTGGCTGTGCAGAAGATGAAATGGCTGTAGTTGAAGGATCATGATCATGATCACGCTTAACTTGAAGACCCTTTGTTTTCTGAATCAAGGGAACATTTTCAGGCCCACAACCTCCCTCTTCTATGCATCTTTCGCATGCACTTCTGAGAGAAATATGGTTCCTGCCATTGGGTGATGTATAACGCAATTCCCATCGACCTTGCTTAGCAATGTACCACAAATTCCAACCCAAAGCACATAGATGTTGCTTTGCTTTTAAGGACAGATCTCTTTTCCTACAACCTCGCTTGTAATCTGTTGATCCTGTTAATTTGTACCACTCAATCACTGCTTGAGGGCAAACAACTGGTTCAATAGACACTGCAGGAGCCGAACTAAGAGCCATCAAATTCAAATATTTCCTGCAAAACCCTGTTCAAGCAGAGTTGATCGCCAACAAAGACCTTCTCACTTAACTCTTCTTTTTTCCTACAACTTTTTCGCAATAACACACACGGTTTCTATTTCAATTGATCGCATGATGTTTTTCCGTTTGATGATTTATATATGTGATTAATACGTATTAAATGATTCGTTACCATGACAGAGTATCCCCCAATTTTATATATGAAATGCTGCATTTGATTAGAAATTACGTAAATTGAGGCTCATTAATAATTAATTTGATTAGAAATTACATAAATTGAGGCTCATTAATAATTAAACAACATATCTGTCAAGAAAAACAAGGGAAATTTCTGAAATGTATTTTTTAGTTAAGATTTTAAGATGTAGAGAAATAAACTGTAAAAAAACAATTTCATTTTAATTATGTATTATCACATGCTATGAAGCACCGATACTTTATGTAATACCCCATATTTGTATTAACTTTAACCTTATGCCTTTTAGTTAATTTGAGGAACTCAAACTTTTAAGTTTCGAAGACGAAACTTATTTATCACAAACACAATTTTATTTCTCATTTGACTAGGATCTGGATAAAATCATATCGGCATTTGAATTATAGAATGACATTACTATTTGCATTTATGTTTAGATTTGAATCATCAGGTTATTATTTACATTTAAGTTTAGATTTGAATCATAACGTTGGTATTTGTATTTTGTAATTTTGTATAGCTGCCTTATTCATTTCTATAAAACTATTCATTTGTATTCATGGTGTTTTTGTATAGCTGCCTTAAATTAGAATTAAAAATACACCATGATTTTCGCCACAAGACGACGTCATTTCAGTGGACATTAGAAAAAGTTGTCTAAAGTAACTTTAGAAAAAAATGAACCATTTGTTTATTTTCTTAATTTTTTTTGTCATTTATGCAATTCGAATCACAATTTGAATTATAGAATGACTAAGATCTAACTAGAGTCATATCTACATTTGAATTATAGGATGACTAGAATCTGACTAGGATCATATCGGCATTTGAATTATAAGATGATGTTACTATTTGCATTTAAGTTTAGATTTGAACCATGACGTTATTATTTGTAATTTGTATATTGCGTTATTCATTTTCTTACAGCTATTCATTTTATTTATACGAAGAGTCAATCATTGACACACTAGATTAGTTCGGTAAAAATTCTATGAAGCACCGATACTTTATGTAATACCCCATATTTTTATTAACTTTAACCTTATGCCTTTTAGTTAATTTGAGGAGCTCAAACTTTTAAGTTTCGTAGACGAAACTTCTTTTAAGGAGGGTAGAATGTAATACCCCATATTTTCTTTTAATAAAATAATAATAATAATAATATAATAATTTTTTTATGGATAATAATGATATTTAGTATTTTTGTAATTAACAATCTTGGAATTTAATATTTTTAATTAATGAGTTAATAATAGTTAAAATAATAAGAGGTAAGATAATAATAATAGTAATATTATTTGATTTATGTGAATATATATATATATAAATTAGATGATAAATCATGATTAATTGATTTATTAATTGATTGATGATTTATGTATTAATGTTTGATTGATAAATTGTTTAGATATGATGAGTCAACAAACATAAATTGTTTAGATATAATGAGTCAACAAACATAAATTATTTAGATATGATGAGTCAATCATGAGTCAGCCTTGAGTTAGCAAATAAGTTAGTTATATTCTAAGAAATTAAGAATAAAAAGAAAATAATGTATAATGCCAAAATCTGAGCCAGATACATCAATGAGGAATAAAGAAATAATTGCACGAAACCCCTATCTGAACCCAAAACTTCAACTATAAATAGAAATTTTTTATTCAAACAAGTTATAGGTTCAAGTATTAGCTTTTATTTTGGAGGATGACATTTCTTTATATAGAAAAAGAATGAGGAGAGAAAGAGCTTAAAGAGTCCAATGTGATTCTAGGATTTAAACTAACATCGGAACATATAACATCTAATTATCTACCAATTAACATATGATCTATCAATGTTTTTTTTTTTTTTTGTATAAATCTATTAATGTTTAATTACACTCTACATATTCTATCGTCCAGGAAATATGAATTTCTCATTTCTCATATTTTTTCAATTTTCTCTCTACCTCTTTTGATGTTTCTCAACATGAATGGTGATTAGAAGGAAATAAAGTACTTAAAACAGGTCCTACAAATTATCATTACCTTAACTTTATTAAATCATACATATAGCAGTATTTGGCTCAATATACTCAAATCTCTTTAAATCCTGGGATAGCAAACTTTATTAGAGTTAGGGGAATAACATAAACATGTCAACTAATTTCAAATCATAATATTTTCAAATTGATGTAGTCATAATAATTATTTTCTGTCTAAGTAATAATGAAAGATGATAATAGATATCAAATTCTCTTCAAGCCAGTGTTATAAAAACTCACCCGAACCATCCAATTCGATTGGTTAACCTATAAATCAGACCCCCAACTGGCCCAATTTAAATATTAGACCGGCTATAAATTTGACTCGGTATAAATCGATGAATCGATCATGAACCTCATTCAACTAGTATTAAACCGGCATTAGTTACTTGAAAAATACCACAAATGAAATTCAAACATAAACCATGTGAATTATAACTTATAGCACTTACCACTAAACCAGCACTAATTATTTGCTAAAATGCTTCTAATTTTATATTTTTATATTTTATTATAGGGATGGATATACTTACTACCAAAAAAGTTTAACACTCTTACAACCAACTTAATCACCGTTGATTTTTGTCAATCTAACAATTATAATTTATTGAGAATTAATAATTAATTAATAAATGTGACCTAATAAATATTATTAATTCTCAATCAATTATAACGTTAGATTGACGAAAATCAACAGTGATTGTTGGTTGTAAGAGTGGTAAACTTTTCTTGTGGTAAGTGGATCCGTTCTCTTATTTATTTATTAAAAGGGAGGTAATAAGCATCGAACTCGTGATCACTTGGTCACTCCTGCTCTGAACGCTTGGTATTGTTTGTAATGCTTGGAAATCTTTCTTGATTTATGTGATATAGAAAAGTGAAGAGAAAAATGTTAAGTTTTATTTAAGTATGACCGGTTCATTTCACACTGGAACAAAGTTATGATGGGTTGAGTGACATGTACAATCACAGATGCACAAAGTTGTTTTTTATACAAAATGTGTGTCGGACATCGACACACTCAGACATATGCCAACATGTGTCTGATATGTCTCTATTACAGTCCATGTGTTAGTGTTGTCCTCTTTAAATCAATGGAAAATTTGTTCTGTGAAATAAAAAAAAAATGTTTATTGAGAAGTTAAAGTGGCTCGGTTGTGCTGAGTGAGCATTTTGAGAGTGTGCAAATCACTAAGTTTGGGATAAGTGTGAGCTGCTTATGCTAAGCACAATTCAGTTATTGGCCAATTAAGTTGCACGTACCTTGATAAAAAAAAAATAACTGTGCATTGAGTGCTGACTTTTGAAAAAGGGATAGTTTAGCTGAGAGGTGTCATAAGCATTGTTAATGTTTGTTCTGTTTACCGTCCACATAAAAATAAAATATATACATATATATACATATATATATATATATATATATATATATATACAATAAAGTGACTAGCGTAACACATTGTGCGTGAGTTAAAAATAATTGGATTTTTTTTTTTTTTTGAGAGTTAACGTGAATTGGGGGTGAGGTAGAATTTTTGATCAGGACATTTCAAACTGATATGCCCAACAATTTTTTTGTATGGTGAGTAGAATTGCTTGTGCATTGGGTTTCTATTAATTAAATAAGTCCAAATAAAATAAAACAATTCAGCCATTGTATGAAATAAATTTGGCCATGCTTATTCTACCAGCCCAATTATATTCAACCCATTATACTTTTATCTGATTTATTAATTTATTTAAAATCTGATAAGGTCAGGATTTTTATTATTAATTTTTTTATTTTATTTAATTTTTTTATTCTCTTCTCTTAAATCTTCTTCTTGTCCAATGAGTTGCGCACAAATTGGTCTCAGCTACTAGTTTCAATTATGAATTTAGCTGAATAGAGGTTTCAGAAGCTGAACCCAACCATTAATGCATCTATGAAATTGTTCAGTAGGTAGTAAAAGGGGACTTCTCATAGAGTGATGATATGACTCATCTCTGCTTTAGTCATATCTCATTTACTTTTTACTAACCCAAGAAAGAGCTTGCTCTTTTATTTTTTTATTTTTTTTGAGTAAATACTCTTTTTGGTTCTCAACAAATTTCACGATGTCCGCTTTAGTTCCTAGAAAATAAAAAGGCTATTCGCAGTCCCTAAGAAATTCAAAATGGACCTATTTAGTTGAAATCTTGGTCCCTCACAAATTCAAAAAAGACCCATATTAGTCCTTCAAGAGGACTAAAATGGGTCAACTTTGAATTTCTTAGGGACCACGAAAGCCTTTTTATTTGCTAGGGACTAAAGGGAGAATCATAAAATTTGCTGAGGACCGAAAATTGTATTTACACTTATTTTTTTTCTTTCTTTTAACCTCTATTTTAAAAAAATAAAATAATTCATTTCTCCTCGTCGTATCAACTAGCAAAGCTAATTCCAAAGCTGATCTCTTTTTCATCGTCTCACTCTGAACCCTAGTTACGTTTTCCTTTCTCTTCTCTTTCCATCTAGTCCCTATGCACCGAAGCTATTTTCTTGTTTTATAGCTTCGAACTCTACCCGTAAGCTAATCTTCCTCCTCGCCGTTGTTCTGATCTGAAAACTAGTCAAGCTTGGTTCGCTTATTTCATATTTAACCTCACCGGAGAACAAATCAACTCAACGCGGTCGAAGAACCACCGTCAGGCTTCTTCTTCGTCTTTCCCTTTTCTACACGTTTTAGGCAAGGGGACCTCTATCCCCTTATCTCTTTATTCTCTGTATGGAGAAGTTAACTCACATAATCATGGATGAAGTGGAGGTGAAAAACTGGCAACCAATTAGAGCTGGCAGATCTGCCCCCTCATTTCACATCTTATGTTTGCTGATGACATCATTCTCTTCGCTGAAGCTTCTCTAAGCCAACTTAATTGTATTGCTCACTGTCTGGAAAAGTTCTCAAAGATGTCAGGTCAAAGTGTGAGTGTAGGAAAACCCTGCATTTACTTCTCTAAAAATGCTCCTTATGAGGTTGTGAAGTCCATTACTGAAATCAGTGGCTTCAAAAAGGTTGATAACCTTGGCTGCTACTTGGGATCTATGATGAGACATGGGAGAATAAATAAAAACCACTATGCTGCTGTTATATCCAGAGTACAGGATAGGCTACAAGGAGGGAAATCAAGATGCCTCTCTCTTGCTGGAAGAATCACCTTAGCTAAAAGTGTAATTTCAGCCATACCTTGCTACCACATGCAGAACAATTCTCTTCCAGTGCATGTTTGCCAAGATATTGAAAAGATGCAAAGAAACTTTATTTGGGGAGATCTGGACTCTCAAAGGAAAGCTCATTATGAGCATATGTGTCAGCCCAAGGATTGTGGTGGTCTTGGCATCATTAATCTCAGGATTCAAAACGAAGCTTTTATGCAGAAGCTAGCTTGGCAGATTATTAGAGACCAGGATAGTCTATGGGCTAAAGTTCTGCTTGGAAAATATGGTAGGAACCAAGATCCTAACCATAGCTTGCTAGCCAAAATGCATGACTCGAATCTGTGGAAGAATATCTGCATAGCTAGAAATAAGATGATCAATCAGCTTGAGTGGGTGATAGAGAATGGCAGAACAGTTTGTTTCTGGACAGACCTGTGGGGAGGATGGCAATGTACTCTTTTTGAGCTTGCTTAAATCAAACCTCATATGTTTGACCTAGGCCTCAAAGTGTGTGATGTAATAGATCATAATACAGATGGTCGGAACTGGAATTACCTGGAAAAATTCCTTGATACCTCTACTTGCAGTAAGTTGAACAATATTCCTCCCCCTAATTTCAGTAACTCTGATGACTGGCTCAATTGGAAGAAGAGTAATCCAGGAAAATCCATTGTTAGGAACGCTTACTGCCAACTGATGAACTCCAACTATGTAAAGGACAGAATCTGGTCAGCAATTTGGAAGTGGAAAGGTCCTTACAGAATAACTGTTTTTCTTTGGTCGGCTTGTCTCAATAAGCTCCCTGTCAGCAGCATCACCTGTCACTGGAGTGGAGGGGAGGTGCATTGTCCCACCTGCTTCAATGATCAAGAAACTTTAATCCACACTCTGAGAGATTGCAAAGCTGCGAGGGGTGTATGGGAGAGATGGTTTGCTGGCAAAATCCTTAGTTACTTCCTTGCAGAAGATGACATAGATTGGTTCAGGCTTAATTTATTTAAGCCTTTTACTTCGCACCTCTGGCATTCGTGGATAGAAAATTTTTTTGTGACCTGCTGGTTCTTATGGCAATGGAGGAATTCCACGGTTCATGATGTTTCATTTTCAAGTCTCCAAGATCCAATACACAAGATACTGAGTTATCTTGCTGACATGAAGAATAGTGGCATTGTTGATCCTTTTTCTTTGTTGTATGTTCATCCTAATCCTTCTGGTAGTCCAGGCCAGATTTTTGTCCAAAAAAGAGTAAAAAAATTTGTGGATGGTGTTGTTAATCTGTCAACCCACATAGGAGCTTGTGGAGGGTTCGCTTGCTCTTCAAATGCAGATTGGATATTCTCTTATAACATAGGGTCTTGCTCCCCTTTGGAAGCTGAATTATGGGGTATTCTTCAAGGCCTTAAGCTAGCTGGTGAGCAAAATTTTCCTATTGTCTGGATTGGTTGTGACAGCAAAGAGGCCATTCTCTGTACAGAAGCTAGAGATGATCCTTGTGGCTTCTCTTCCTTAATTGCTAGAATCAAGAAAATAGCCCAGTCTTTTGATCAAGTTCATATGGAGTATGTTCCTAGATGATTTAATGATTGTGGAGATAGCTTAGCTAAGGTAGGAATTAACCTCAAGGGTGGAGAGTTGAGGGTGTTTTCCTCTCCCCCTGATAGCATTGAGTTTTTTGGAATTCTTTTTGTTCAAAGATGCTGGTGGAGCATGTGTCTTTAAACATGCATCAGCTCTCTGTTTAGTGTTTCTGGGCTAGGCCCTCCATTTATATAAAATAAAAATAAAAAAATTCATGCTTTATATTTTTGGTTCTATTGTAGTATATGGATTACTAACCAATTAATGCAAAGATTATCTCAATGTGATCCTAAATCCTAATATTTGTTGCTCTAGATTTTCATTTGAATTTAGCTTAAGTTTAATTTCAAAGTTGCCAATTCATGCATATGTTTGCATATACATTTATCAACTACTAATTAACTATTTTCTTTTTTCTGTACGCACTCAAGTAACCATTTCCCCCTAAAACATCTAAGAACTCTTTCATTCTTCTTAATGGACTTGGGATGTATATAAAGGGTACACTAATCCCTTAGAGGCTGAGCTCCATGGGTTACTCGCAGGCATAGTTATCAAATGCGGATTGCGACGTGTCACGGCCAACTCCGAAAAATGCTATAGCGTTATAACGGGTTGCGGTTGCGATTGCGGAAATAGCGGAATATATATATATATATATATATATATATATATATATATATATATATATATATATATATATATATGATAGAAACAATGACAAAAGTAAACATATTTTAAAGGAAGAGATAGCAGAAGTGACAAAGAGAGACGCGGATAGACTAAAAAACCCTTAAATTTTATCTGTTACACATTTAAATTTAGGACAAAATTAACATTTTACCTTATGACAGCAATATGGCCGCAAATGCGATTGCAATGGCCGCTATTGCATTCCGGTGTGATGCGGAGCGACTTCTTGCGGCGAGGCACCGCAACGCCAATACGGCGCGGCTAACTACTGTGCTTGGGTTTCTATATACAAAGTTTTTACAAAGGAATTGATGGGTAGAATGCTGGTTTAAAAACTTAAGCTTAGTGATATACTGATAGTAAAGATGAATTTGCTAACAAAAAGTAAAGTCTTCACAAAGCTGAGGGGAATCAATGTATTTATCCCTTTTCATAATTTCAATTTCCAACAACAATTAGCATGTTGAGCAACAATAAAGTTGATAATTATTTTAAAATTTTGATGAAATCATTGCGACAATTAGCATTTAACAACATGGCAGTCCGGTTCTATCGTATTATCTATTTGGTTTCACTGACAGAAGAAGATCCCATCATAGTTTCGATCTCACCTATTCCAAATCACATTGCCTAACTCTTTTTAGAAATAAAATGAGCCACATAGAAATAAAAAGTATGTTAATAAAATTGAGGTTGAGCTATAGCTTAAAAAGTGCTACCATTGAGAGTTGTACATACTAGGAGAAGAAAAATATAATACATATAAAATATTTTATAAGAATCCTTTGACCAAATGATGTAGCAACTAGTAAAAATACACCTGCACTTGGCACATAGGCCCAACAACTCCTCATACTAACCAGATCCTCTCCACCACTAGCCCACACCTAGAGGCTTATGGATACCAAGTCAATTATCAACAGTTTCTAGGGTAACTGTTCAGACAGGTAGAATCAATCTGAGTAGTATATAAAGAAGTTTGAAATAACAAAAGAGAAAATGAAAACAGGGTACTGAGTAGGGAAAACAAAAGCAGCTAAAGACAACCAGAAAAAACTATTAAATTAGTAACAGAGATAACATCAATTGTCCAGCTAGACTTCAAAAATTGAAAATCATCAAAACACGAGATGAGAGTAGACAAAAAGATGAACTAAAGCAACAACTGTATCACCCCAAGGCTTCAGAACAACGTATAGGAGAAAACACAGAGAGGCAATTTTACTGTTGTAAGGTAGGTGATGCACAATGGAGAAGCATATTATTAGGATATTATATTTGACTAGGATCCAGGATTTTATATTTGATTAGGATATTACATACAATTATTATTTATCTAGGATTTTAAGTAGAACTACAAAAGCAAGCACGAAGCAATAAATAGTGCCTTATAACACACTCATATGCAATGCAGATAATTATAGCACAATTCAGCAGGAAAACATAAAAAAAAAAAACTGAACATAACATACTCTCTATATCAATTCTGCAACTTCACCCAATCAGGAGGGGGCCAGAACAACTTGGAAAAACCCGGACAATCTGACAAAGGTAAAACCCGACCTTCATCCAACTGAAAAACACCCATCTGACTTTCCGGGTCATCGATGTCAAAGCTATGATAATCTCCAAAAATCACACAGTTCCCTTTGCCAACACACAAATCAGACACAGAAACAGAAAACGCATCATCATCCCCGCACAACAAAACCCTGTCCCCCAAACTTCTCAACTGCACCCACTTCTTCTCATCCTCCTCAAGCCTATACACATCAAACCTCACACATCTTAACAAATAAGGCAATGGAATTTTAGCTTCATCAGCACCATCACTATCATAATCATCAATTACATTGTCGTCCACAAAGTACTTGTCCACCAACAACAACTCACCCTCAGAATGAACCAAGAACTTCTTGACACCTCCAAACACCGGCTCCGCCACCAAACCCACACTCAAGTCCGCCCCGACCACCACGGTCCGACCTGTCTCGTCAACAGCGCAAAGTCTCCCCTTGAAAACACAGACATCACTGTACCGTGTGCAAATGTCAAAGTTAGTCAAACGCTCATCACCAAGAGTGAGTCTCCCAAAATATCCAATCGTAAGCACAAGCATAAGCAGAACGAAAGTCGACCCCAGCCGCACAAAAACCACCTTTCCAAAAATTGGAGAGCCAGAAGTACTCATAACCTCGAGGAAGATCTTGTGTCCCAATTCAGTTACGCGTAATTCGTAGAGGTCCAACTGTTGGGGAAAATGGGATGTGGAAGATTCGATTGGGGTGCAATTGAAAGGGTAACAGAGCTTGGTTCGGCCACCTGGGTCTTGGCGGATTTGGATCAACCAGGGTTGAAGGGTTTGTTGTTGTTGTTTTTGTGGTTGATGGGGTGGGGTGACGAGGAACAAGGTGCACTTGGAGACGGTGAAGGTTAAAGGGTTCTTGTTATTGTTGTTAGAACTGACGATTAGGGATTCAAAGGGGAAAGGGTGGCAGGTGGGGATGGGACAACAAGATGAGCGCCACCAGGAACATACCGATCGGATACGAAGGCCACTGAGTGAGCTGTCAAGGCATTCGGATATTCGATGGAGGAGTGAATTCGGAAGTTGCGACCAGTCGGCCATGGTGATTTTTCTGAAAATGTTCTTCGGGGGGAGAAAAGGGCTTTTCGACCTATATATATATATATATATATATATATATCTAAAGTGAATGTAGATAAGTTATCTACATTAGCTCCTAAAACGACATCGATTTTGGTTGAAAATTAAAAAATTATAATGAAAAAGACTATTATAACCCTCAAATAAATTATAATATAAAAATACTTTGATTTTCGTCTCAAAACGACGTCGTTTTGGGCTCACTGTAGATAAGTTATCTACATTGACTGTAGAAAAAGCGAACTCATATATATATATATGGCAAAATGATTTCTGCAGGCAGCAAGCCAGGATCCGGCAGCGGATCCTAGGATACGGAACGGGATTATTTTTTTTTTTTTTAAGAAAATATGCGGGGCCCACTTTTCTGTGTCAGCTGCAGATAACACTGTCTATGGCGGCTGCAGAAATGATAAGTCCTATATATATGGGTTATCTGCATAGACAGTGTTATCTGCAGCTGACACAGAAAAGTGGACCTCACAGCTATAAAAAAAATAAAATGGATCCGGAACTGTATCCTAGGATTCGGAACCAGATCCATACATACATATATATATATATATATATATAGGGGATAGTTTTTCTGCAGGGGCTGCAGAGAACAGTTATGTGCAGCTGACACAGAAAAGTGGGCCCCACAGCTTCAAAAAAAAAAAAACAGGATCTGGAACCGTATCCTAGGATTTGGAATCGGATCCTGGCTTGCTGTATGTGCAGCGGCTGCAGAAACCATTTTGCTATATACGGGAAAAGTATTTCCACAGCCACTTTAGATAAGGTTATCTACAACTACCACTTTTTAACTAAGTACGACCGGTCGTACTTAGTTATAACAATAAAGCTGCTCTTTTTTTCTCTCTCCTCGGACACTGTCGGCTGACGTGGCAGAGAGAGAAAATGCACTTTCAATATACGACCGGTCGTACTTAGTTAAAAAGAATAGCTGTAGACAACTTTATCTAAAGTGGCTGCAGAAATATTTTCCCATATATATATATATATATATATATATATATATATATATATATATATATATATATATATATATATATATATATATATAAAAGTGTTTGTCATTTTAAATGATATAAAGTTATGTCATTTTAAGAGAGAGACAGACCCAGAAAAAAAATTTATTTAAATTTTAAATTAAAAAAACACACTTTCTCTCTCCCATGATTTCCATTTTTCCGTGTCTATCTCTCTCCTAAAATGACATAACTTATGTTATTTAAAATGAAAAACACCAACATATATATATATATATATATATATATATATATATATATGGAAAGAAGATTATAACAACCAAGTTAGATTACTACCAATGTTATTACCAATCCATCTCACCGTTAAATTAGTTATCTCATCCTACGGTCATGATTTGATGCTTAAATAGCCCTCTCTCTTCCCTTCCCTCTCTAATTATACTCTGTACCCATCTCTGTCGCCGCTGCCTATTTCTGCCGTCGCTGCCCATCACTGCCGCCAATCCACCGCAGTCTTCCGCCGCGGTGCTGCCCCTCGCACTCTACCGCCTCGCCACCTCCGTTAATCCCTCTCTGTCCTACCCCTAATATGAGTTGTCAAGGCATTCGGATATTCGATGGAGGAGTGAATTCGGAAGTTGCGACCAGTCGACCATGGTGATTTTTCTGAAAATGTTCTTCGGGGGAAGAAAAGGGCTTTTCGACCTACCTATATACATATATATATATATATATATATATATATATATATATATATATATATATATATATATAGGGCAATGCTATTCTCATACTATTGGAAAGGAGAAAATCTCCAACACACTTAAATTTATGGTGGGGCCCACATATAAAAAATAAAGAAAACAAAAAAAATTATTGCACGCAAAACGAACTCTCACTAACATGAGAAGAGAGCTCTCCTACAACATAAGAATTCTTTTTCCCATATATATATATGTATATATATATATATAGGGTTTTATAAGAGTTATGTTGTAAGAAAATTGATTGTGTAATGTTATAGAGATTCGTGTTGTGTGCTTTAACTTTTTTAATTTTTTTTTGTTTTAAAAAGTGCGGGTCCCACAAAATGTTGTGTGTGTAGAAAATTTGATGGTGTCATGTTATAGGACAAACTACAATCTCATATATATATATATATGGGATAAAAAAATCTCATGTTGTAGGAATAAAGTTCCTCTCATGCTAGCGAGAGCTCGATTTCCGTGTTAATATTTTCTTTCATTTTCTTTTTTCTCTTAAATTAATGGGCCCACTTGATTGTATGTGTAGGAGAAAAGTTCCTCTCATGTTGTATGAGAAAATGCAACTCTTTAATATATATATATATATATATATATATATATATATATATATATATATATGCTTTAATGTTTCTAAAGTGAATGTAGATAAGTTATCTACATTAGCTCCCAAAACGACATCGATTTTGGTTGAAAATTAAAAAATTATAATGAAAAAGACTATTATAATCCTCAAATAAATTATAATTATAAAAATACTTTGATTTTCTCCTCAAAACGACGTCGTTTTGGGCTCACTGTAGATAAGTTATCTACATTGACTGTAGAAAAAGAGAACCCATATATATATATGGCAAAATGATTTCAGCAGGCAGCAAGCCAGGATCTGGCAGCGGATCCTAGGATACGGAACCAGATTATTTTTTTTTTTTAAGAAAAGATGTGGGGGCCCACTTTTCTGTGTCAGCTGCAGATAACACTGTCTATGGCGGCTGCAGAAATGATAAGTCCTATATATATATATATATATATGGGTTATCTGCAGCCGCCATAGACAGTGTTATCTGCAGCTGACACAAAAAAGTGGACCTCACAGCTATAAAAAAAATAAAATGGATCCGGAACCGTATCCTAGGATTCAGAACCAGATCCATATATATATATATATATATATATATATATATATATATATATATAGGGGATAGTTTTTCTGCAGCGGCCGCAGAGAACAGTTATGTGCAGCTGACACAGAAAAGTGGGCCCCACAGCTTCAAAAAAAATAAAAACAGGATCCGGAACCGTATCTTAGGATTTGGAACCGGATCCTGGCTTGCTGTATGTGCAGCGGCTGCAGAAATCATTTTGCTATATACGGGAAAAGTATTTCTACATCCACTTTAGATAAGGTTATCTACAGCTACCACTTTTTAACTAAGTACGACCGGTCGTACTTAGTTATAACAATAAAGCTGCTTTTTTTTTCTCTCTCCTCAGACACTGTCGGCTGACGTGGCAGAGAGAGTAAATGCACTTTTAATGTACGACCTGTCGTACTTAATTAAAAAGGGTAGATGTAGACAACTTTATCTAAAGTGGCTGTAGAAATATTTTCCCATATATATATATATATATATATATAGGAAAAGTGTTTGTCATTTTAAATGACATAAAATTATGTCATTTTAAGAGAGAGACAGACACAGAAAAAAAAATTTATTTAAATTTTAAATTAAAAAAACACACTTTTTCTCTCCCATGATTTCCATTTTTCTGTGTCTATTTCTCTCCTAAAATGACATAACTTATGTTATTTAAAATGACAAACACCAAACTCATATATATATATATATATGTTATAATATTCTTTCCATATATATATATATATATATATATATATATATATATATATATATATATATATATATATATATATATATATATATATGGAAGAATATTATAACAACCAAGTTAAATTTCTACCAATGTTATTACCAATCCATCTCACCGTTAAATTAGTTATCTCATCCTACGGTCATGATTTGATGCTTAAATAGCCCTTTCTCTTCCCTTCCCTCTCTAATTATACTCTGTACCCATCTCTGTCGTCGCTGCCTATTTCTGCCGTCGCTGCCCATCACTACCGCCAATCCACCGCACTCTTCCGTCGCGGCGCTGCCGCTTGCACTCTAATGCCTCGCCTCCGCCGTTAATCATTCTCTGTCCTACCCCTAATCTGAGTTGTGCGCCCCTCTCTCTACTGCGGGACAGTTTCAATATTCCTGCGAGGCCACACAGGTTGGATTTTCCATATTCATCATATATATTTCCCAATTATCTTTCTCCTCTTTTATCGTTTGACAGTCGAGATTGTTATAATCATCTAAAAAGTGTGAGGAGAAGAATATATAACACAGGAGATGCACAAGCTGTGTTATATTATTGTGTTAAACAACAATCATTGAATCCAAATTTCTTTTATTCCATTAAATGTGATGATGAAGATCGCATGTAAAGCTTTTTTTGGATTGATGCAAAGTCCAGGCAAGCTTATGAGCTTTTTGGTGATGTCATCACATTTGACACGACATACAAAACTAATAAGTATTCAATGCCATTTAGACCTTTTGTCGGTGTAAATAATCATTTACAGTCAATCTTGTTCGGATGTGCTTTATTGAAAGACGAAACGGAAGATACTTTTGTTTGGCTATTTAAGGAATGGCTCCAAGCAATGAATGAGAATCATCCGGGCGCCATAATTACTGATCAGGTATAATCATTTTAAGTACATCTTTTCAATTGTTTCATATATTAATGATTGTATTCTTACATATGTCATTGAATTTATAGGACATGTCAATTACCAATGCAGTATCCAAAGTTTTCCCAAACAGCAAGCATCGATTTTGTATGTGGCACATCACAAAAAAGTTTCCAGAAAAATTGTCTCATGGCTATCAGCAGCATGCCACATTTAAGAGAGTTTTCAATAACTGTATCTATACAAAAAAGAGCACTCAAGATTTTGAAGACAAATGGCAACGTATTCTTGATAACTTTGGTCTTCATGAGAATGAGTGGTTGCAATCACTCAAACATCCCTATTGTCATGCATTTACCTACATCAAACCCTATGTCTATTCCTAGAATCATAACGTTTACGATGAAGTTATCAGATATGGATCACACACCAACATCCCTATTGTCATGCATTTACCTATGAT